ACTGTCAAAGTTCGCCCTTCTGAAATCTGGTACTTTAGTGGAATTTTCCTTACGTCTGCCCTGAAAGTCTAACTGGAATCTAATTTCTTTGTGATCCCTGTTTGCAAATTCGTTCCCTACCTCGACCCTGCTAATGAGGTTTTCTCTGTTTGACAGAACTAAATCGAGTATATTATTACCCCGTGTGGGTTCAGTTATATGTTGACTTAGAAAACAGTCCTGGATAGTCTCGAGAAAATCTTCTGATTCTGAGTTACCTGTAAGGTCAGTCCAATCTATTTGGCCAAGGTTAAAGTCGCCTACTATACAGACTTTGTTGTGTATGGAAGCCCTGCGCATTTCATCCCAGATAAGTCGCTCTTTGACTCTATCAAGATTGGGAGGTCTATATATTACTCCTGTGATTAATTTTTCTCTACCGTCGATTAATTCTATCCAAATTGTTTCTGTATTCCGGTCAGTTTTTATTTCCTTATTTATTTCACACTTCAGATTATCCCTAACATAGATTGCTACTCCGCCTCCTTTCCTGGTCTGCCTATCGGTATGGAACAGTTTGTAACCCGCAATTTGGTATTCGACTGGTAACTCACGTGTGTCTAGGTTGATCCATGTTTCAGTGAATGCAATTATATCGATTTTTTCGGTACATACCAAGGCCCTAATATCATCCATTTTGTTTCTCATACTTCTACTGTTTGCGTAGTATACATTTAAGTTAGTCGTGTTCTGAGTCCTCCCCTTTCCGCGTTTAGTTTTAAACTCCCTGTCTAATTCAGTTTTGTCATCATTCCTAACACTATTTCCCTGTAATCTTTCACTTTGTTTACCCGCTCCCACTGCAGTCTCCTCCACCCCCGTGCTCATATGTTCTCCTAGCAGTTTAAAGACTTCGATATCTTTTGAACTGCCCCCTCTAGAGCCTCAGCCAGGGTTGCTACTCCATCCCTAGACAGGTGCACCCCATCCCTAGCATAAAAGTCCCTTCTGCCATAGAAGTTGTCCCAGTTGTCAATGAATGGGACTGATATTGACTTGCAATATCTGTCAAGACGGTCGCTGACACCAACCGCCCTTGACAACCACTCACTGCCAACTCTCCTTCTAGGCATTACCGACCGGCGACATGACCACACACCTGGGCAAATACAGCTGTCTAGACTTGACCCAAGTAGAGGTCACGGTCTCAATGACCCAGAGATCTCACCACCGTGTCATTAGCTAACCCGGCGACATGACCGTGTTACTCTAGAAGCTACCCTCCAGCCTGTACGCCTGTCACCTGACCAGACACACCCAGATTAGTGTCGACATCTTCCGGCTCGTTTTCATCGATATAAAAGCCTGCAGCTCTCTCGACAAAATATTAGCATTCGGACAGAATTCAGAAGACAGAAGTAACGCTCGTCACTAGTCAAGGTCGGGAGGAAAACTTCCCTTCCCAGCACTGAGCCCCAGCTAGCAGAGTTTCTCACAGAAGACCTAGTCCAGCACTCTCTTCAGCAGCACCTTCTGGGCCTCCCTCAGGTCACATAAGAACATAAGAACATAAGAATGGAGGAAACTGCAGCGGGCCTATTGGCCCATACTGGGCAGTCCCGTTTACACCCAACCCCTATTGCTCATATGAGCATCCAACCTATGTTTGAAGCAATTCAGCATATTCGAGTTAATGATGATATTTGGTAACTTGTTCCATTCATCCACTACTCTGTTTCCAAACCAGTGTTTACCTATTTCACGCCTAAATCTAAATTTGTCTAATTTAAAACCATTGTTACGAGTTCGCTCCTGGTTGGATAATTTGAGTACCTTTGTAATGTCCCCTTTGTTTAGCCCTGCCTTCCACTTATACACCTCTATCAGGTCGCCCCTCGCTCTACGTCTCTCGAGGGAGTGCAAATTAAGATGCTTTAACCTGTCTCTATACTCAAGGTTCCTAATGCCCGGGATTAGTCTTGTCATTCTCCTCTGAATTCTTTCCAAGGATTCTATATCCATTCTGTAATACGGTGACCAGAACTGAACTGCGTAATCCAGGTGTGGTCTCACAAGAGCAAGATACAGTTTTAGGATGACCTCGCTAGTCTTGTAACTAACACTCCTTTGTATGAACCCAAGTACTTTATTAGCCTTGTTACGAGCAAAAACACATTGTTTACTTGGCTTAAGGTTCCTACTTATCATTACTCCTAAATCTCTCTCGCAGTCGGATTTCTCTATGGCATCGTTGTTCATCTGGTATCTGGTTTCCCTGTTTACATCTCCTATACTGAGTACTTTACATTTGTCGACATTGAATTTCATCTGCCATTTTTCAGACCATTGGAAAAATTTGTTTAGATCTTCCTGTAGTTTTGCCGAGTCCTCGTCAGATTTGATAACACGTCCTATTTTAGTGTCATCAGCAAATTTACTTATGTTGCTGTCTATGCCGATATCTATGTCGTTTATGTATATAATAAACAATAATGGTCCAAGTACTGAGCCTTGGGGAACTCCACTTGTGACGTTGCTCCAATGGGACTTAGTGCCGTTAATGCTCACTCGCTGTTTCCTGTCCTGTAACCACGCCCTAATCCATTTAAGGATGTCACCTTTGATGCCATGAGCTTCTACCTTTCTAATTAGTCTTTCGTGGGGGACTCTGTCGAAGGCGATCCAGAGCGATCCAAGGGTGAGTTACTTACGGTGGGAAGTGTATCCATTTCATGTTTGTGTCCGAGAGTCATTGTATAGTAACATAAATATAATGATATATTAATGTGTCCATACCATTGAGTTAATTAATAAATAGCTTTACTTAGAATTGGTGTGTAGAAGATTTCCCCTAAAAACATAGTAAGAGTTAAATAGCTAATCGGCCACGCTACCAAATCTTCCTCACTTTTCAATCCTACAACTAGAACTTCTTGCTATACTTTCTACACCTAGTGTTCCTTTCGTTTCTACTTACTAATATAGGTGTTGTTCTTCTGGGCTGTAAGCTATGGTCTGATAAAAAATCATTACACTTTCACCAACGTAGTCTACGTTCCATTCTCCGAGTTCGCTGGGAAGACAAGAGAACAAATGCCAATATTCTCGCTGACACCAACTGTACGGACATCGATGCTACCATTATCCATGATATAATAAGTGAAAACTAAGAGTAGAAATAATGCTGAGAGTTACTATGTTATAGGATAAAATGAGGAAGATTTGGTAGCGTGGCCGATTAGTTATTTAACTCTCACTATGTTTTTAGGGAAAATCTTCTACAGTACACACCAATTCTAAGTACAGCTATTTATTAATTAACTCAATGGTATGGACCAATTAATATATCATTATATTTATATTACTATACAATGACTCTCGGACAACAAATATGAAATGGATACACTTCCCACCGTAAGTAACTCACCTTAATGGACTGCTCTGACAATGACTCACGTGTGACCTGAGGGAGGCCCAGCGGTTGGGGAAGCTGCAGGTGCTGCTGGTCTATGTCTTCTATGGGAGACTCTGCTAGCTGGAGACTCGGTGCTGGGGAGGGAACTCTCCCTCTGGGAAGGAGCTGTCGGCCCCTTCCCTGTTACAATAATGATGCCGAATGCCTCCTGGAAGGAGTTGCAGGGCCCTTATATTGGAGATCTCCACCCGGAAGATGTCGTCAGTAATCTGGGTGTGTCTGGTCAGGTAACATGTCTACTGTCTAGAGGGTAATTTCTTGAGTAACACAGTCATGTCGCCGGGTTAGCTAATGACGTGGCAGTGAGAACTTTGGCTCAATATGACCGTGACCTCCCTTGGATCAGGTCTGGGCAGCTGTGTTTGCCCAGGTGTGTGGTCCTGTCGCCGGTCGGTAATGCTTCCTAATTATTAGCACCCGGGTGTGTCTTGTTCAGGAGTAGTTTCCGCAACACGGTCATAACGCCAGGTTAACTCAGGTACCTTGTGGCCGTGACCTTTCCTGGGTCAGATCTTAATCTCACTGTTGAGTGTGTCAACCTACGTGTTATCTGTGTTGTTCTTATCAGGGTCTGTAAGCTATGGTCTGATAAACAATCATTACAATGAACAACTGCATTGGACTGTCTATGGACGACAGTAGACTGCCAAAGCAGCTACTTTACAGTCACCTAACAAATAGTAAACGTAACTCTGGCAGGCAACTGAAAAGGTATAAGGATAGTCTTAAGACAAACTTGGAAAAAGTGCCAAATCGACCCCCTCACCTGGTAGACAGTCTCTCCACACCGTAACGCTTGGGGGAGCACCACACAAGAAGGTGTCAATACTTTCGAGTTAGCCCGACTGTATACCGAGGCAGACAAGCGCCAATACCGGAAAGACGCTGCCGCCGCCCCTCCCGCACTAGGTGTAGCCCTCCACACGTGCATCTGTGGACGACCCTTCCTGTTCTGTATCGGTCTCTCTAGTCACCTCAGAGCACAGGAACGAATGTGATATCCTTAATAACTCATATCTTTGTATTATAGCTGGATGATCGTCATACTCAGTTCCGAGTGACAGTAATGTAGTAGTGGTATGTGTGTGTGTGTGTGTGTGTGAGAGAGAGAGAGAGAGAGAGAAAGAGAGAGAGAGAGAGAGAGAGAGAGAGAGAGACACCAGTATTTTCCTACATTAATTGTTCAGAGTTACAGCCCTTGGATTCTTACGGTGATGTGGGGCTAAATATTATTATTATTATTATTATTATTATTATTATTATTATAATTATTATTATTATTACAAGTAGTACTACTACTAGTAGTAGTAGTAATAGTAGTAGTACTAGTAATTATAGTACAGCATCAGTATTATTATTATTGCTCTTATTATTTTGAAGTGGTTTATTTTTTAAGTACTAAATGTGAAGAAATAATTTATTTTGTTTATAATTTCTATGATATTTTTCAAATCGATATATTTTGTTTTGTTCATATGATGTAAATAATATTTCCCCCCTGTGTTAGAATAAATTATAATTTCAGGTTTATATTGTAATTTAGTCTTTTTCTCTCTTGTTCCAGATCATTCACCTCACAGAAGCTGCCGATACACCGCCCACTGAACTGCATCCACCCAGCCCACCTTCACCCCAGCCACCCACACAACCATCCACTCATATCTGTCTAGTCACCCACCTACCACGCCCATCTTTCTAGTCAATTGGCGGCCCACCCAGACGCCCAAACCGATACCCAGACACCCACACACCTGCTACATACTCTCATACCTGCAAGAAACTCACACATCTGCCAGATAGACACCCACACACCCGCCCATTACGGACCGACAACAGATAACAGTACGGCAGACTCCTCACTGTTCATCAGCGCCGGACGCCTCAGTCACCTCAGCCTGGAACACACGACGGACCTGATGTTCTTCCTGTGATGTTAGAAATTATAGGTGGAAGACCTCCTGGGAGCCAATCGTCGCTCTAGTGCCAGAGGAACCACAATTCTTCAGTTCCTCTTCTCCTCCTGCAGTGACCAATATGCTGGCTGTAGTACTGTAGAAAAGAACACTTCGAACCGCCTCTGGAACACCACCTGGAAACCGAAACCGTAACGTGTTATCATAGAAGTGTTCGTGAAACCGCAAGCCTCACGCTCCTCTTCTCCTCCCACCAGTGGTCAACACAGTGTTTATGATACAGGAGAGAAAAAAATACACACCAGACACCTCGCCTCTTCTGGCAGACCTCCTGGAACCTGTCATCTTGCCGGTGTCAGAGAAGCCACGAGACTCATTCTTCTCTCCTCCGTCCACTGGTCAACACATTGCTTGTGTTACTAATAAAAAAAAAGGAGCCAGACGCCTCGTTCATGAATAGCCAAGGTTATCGGGGTTCCTCAGCCGACAGAAAAACCCGTCGTCGTCGTCGCTGCGTCGTTCACTCCAGACGTCCAGTTCTTTGATGTAGACGCGAGGCTGGAGATAGCGGCGTGATAGCGTCGTGGATCGTCCTCAAGGTGGACACCTGTCATCACCTAACGTCATCCAGCGGACACGATAATTGGCCCGTGTCGTAGAGTACATCAGGAGGAGGCTAGAGCAAGGGAACAACAGTTCTACCCACTTTTAAATATCAAGAACTCGAGTGTCATTTGTCAAGAAATAAGTTATAAGATTTTTCTAGAATTTTGAAGCTTATCTTTGGTAGGGAACTTAAGACTTCCTAATCCTAGCAACTGATGACTTCTTAATAAACTGCAACAAGACAGAAACGTAGAGGATAATCATAACACACAGTCTTGTATATAATTTTTTACTCTTTACTTAGCGTAGAAATCGAGAGGAATCGTCGAAAATAAGACATTCATCGTGAAAGTAAAGAAAGCGTGTCAGAATCGACAACATTGTGCTACAAGAGTTACTGTCAGTTCCTAGAAGTCTGCTTTATCAACCTCCGGAGGCAACAACAACCTTCCCTGGCTGGCACCTCTGATAGGGAGAGGGAGCCAACCAGCCTCCCTTCTTAACTGTTCCCAGACCTCCCTCGCTCCTCTCACAGTCTTCCTCACCTAGATTCCCTCCAACAATAACCTCCCTCACACGATCTCCATCTCCCTCAGTTCCAATACCTACATCCCCCTCCTTACCTCACTTTCTCCCTCACTACCTCTTACACCTCTCCGTCAGCCATTACAGCAGTGAGCTTGGGTGTCCAGGGGAGGATGAGGATGGTGGGGCGCGGCACCCCTAGAGGCTCCCCCGCCCAGCAGTAGCTCCTCCCCGCCGCCCCTCCCTCATCCTCACTCATCCTCGTCACAGTATGTCCAGCTCCCACTCGTCGGGGTCCTCGGGGGGGCGGGTTTCGGGGGCGTGGCCGCACCCGGTGACCGCTGGAGCCGCCCTCACACCCAAGAACCTGTTGAGACATCACAAGTTGCCCACTGCCGCCCACCTCCACACTCCCACGGCACCCCCAGGCCTTGACCTTTCACGCCCCCTTCTCCTGTACACCAGTTACAACTCTACGAAGGTCAGTACACACCCACTACACTCAACCAAGGTCAGTACACACCCACTACACTCAACCAAGGTCAGTACACACCCACTACACCCAACCAAGGTCAGTACACACCCACTACACTCAACCAAGGTCAGTACACAGTCACTACACTCAACCAAGGTCAGTACACAGTCACTACACTCAACCAAGGTCAGTACACACCCACTACACTCAACCAAGGTCAGTACACACCCACTACACTCAACCAAGGTCAGTACACAGTCACTACACTCAACCAAGGTACACAGTCACTACACTCAACCAAGGTCAGTACACACACCCACTACACTCAACCAAGGTCAGTACACAGTCACTACACTCAACCAAGGTCAGTACACACCCACTACACTCAACCAAGGTCAGTACACACCCACTACACTCAACCAAGGTCAGTACACACCCACTACACACCAGGTCAGCACACACCCACTACACTCAACCAAGGTCAGTACACAGTCACTACACTCAACCAAGGTCAGTACACAGTCTACACTCAACCAAGGTCAGTACACACCCACTCACACTCAACCAAGGTCAGTACACACCCACTACACTCAACCAAGTACACAGTCACTACACTCAACCAAGGTCTGTACACACCCACTACACTCAACCAAGGTCAGTACACAGTCACTACACTCAACCAAGGTCAGTACACAGTCACTACACTCAACCAAGGTCAGTATTCAGTCACTACACTCAACCAAGGTCACAGTCACTACACTCAACCAAGGTCAGTACACACCCACTACACTAAGGTCAGTACACAGTCACTACACTCAACCAAGGTCAGTACACAGTCACTACACTCAACCAAGGTCAGTACACAGTCACTACACTCAACCAAGGTCAGTACACACCCACTACACTCAACCAAGGTCAGTACACACCCACTACACTCAACCAAGGTCAGTACACAGTCACTACACTCAACCAAGATCAGTACACACCCACTACACTCAACCTGTAATCAATTTCATTAAGAGTTTCTGTAAACATCTTCTACCTGGCCGCCTCCCTTATATAGATTATATATATTTTGTGCTAAAAAACGTGGCCTTGAGGAGAGGTGACAGTGGCTGTTTACTGGACCTCATTGCCAAGGTCATTTGTCTGATAAGAGAACTTGCAGGTAAAATGGGTCCTGGTCCCAATAGGTCCCATTCTATCCTAAACTGACCATTGGAATTGGGGACATTTGGTAGTGTGGGTCCATTTGGACTGGTCCTCGTTCTAATGGACTGATTATATTAGTTTAAGACAAATTATACCGGGACCAGTTAGAACAGCCCACATGAATGTTTAAGACTCCTATGAGAGGTTCACATATCTCTGATGTGCTTACAGGTGAGGGGCGTGTCACTGCGGCCGGGGAGGGAGGGAGGCCTCACACCTGTGGGTCCTGCCATCGTTATCCCGGAGTCTTACACAGGTGAGATACTGACACCTTTTTTATTAATAATTATCGTTGAAATGAGTACAGCTTCTTCCATTACCTGGTACTGAAGTGGCCTTAATGAGTACAGGCTGAGTGACTTCCGGCCTATCAGAGCAATATAGTAACCCTGTTTTGTCCCTCCTAGGATGGTTCGCCATAGTGACGAGTGACGGCCACACAGCGCCCTTTTTCTCCACGGTGGAACAGGTCGCTACTAGCCAGGTCTCATTCTTCCTCACCCGCTACGACGTGCCGGCCTACACCAACCTGCACGACGGTGAGTATTAACGCTGTGACATAACCTGTACATTATGGTGAAAGACAGTGTGATGTCTAACCTACACTACGGCCTCCAAACCCGAAAATACTAACATTTATGAAAAAGACAAGTCATCATTATCAAGCAATATAATACATCTTTTGTCATTGTACTCATTCCTATTTTATCGAGTTATCGTCCGGGAAGTGACACTAACATAGTTCCCCCTCTCACTCCATTATAGAGAATGGACGCGTGACGTATCAGAAGACTGTGGTTCAGAGCGGCCACGTCCTCAAGCTGTTGGGGATCTTCGAGGACCTCAACGCCAAGAAGACCAACAGCGGAGGCAGAGGTCGAGACGCCATGTCCGTCTTCAACTGTAATAAATATGCTCAATGTCTCAACTACAGGAACGAGGTAAGGAAAATATGTAGAGATAAATAATCTCGAAATTTATGTTTTATATACGTGACATTTCTTAATTTAATACTTTTATTCATTAATTTAAATGGCTACTTTGCCTGGTAAAGCTAATCATCCTTTACTATTGTGTTTTAATATAAATTTTTCTGAGGTACAGTATATAAGACAGTATTAACAGCGAGTTCTTCACCCCCAGGTTGTGTTCTTGCCGTTCTCAGCGTCTGGTCGGTTCTACACGACGGCCCACAAGACGAGTAAGAACCCCAACCACGTGTACCTCATGGCCCACATCCTGAAGAACCACAAACTACCCCTCACTGTCCGCCTCGTGTGTGGCTACATGCCTCGTGTTCCCTGTAGCTTTACTGGTAGGTGTTCCCTGTAGCATTACTGTCCACCGTGAGCCTCAGGCCACATCAGTTGGGTGTCATGCGCTGTGTTTCCTCTGGCAGATTATTGTCATGAGACTGTACTGTAGCTCATAGCTTCACTCTTCCGCCTGTCTTTCATGACCTTAATCTTCATGTATGTGATATCTGTAGTCGTCACAGAAGGAGGTGGTGATGCTGACCTACACGACTCTCACTAATACCTCTCTCCGCCCTTAGGTGTGCTACGTCTGGAACAGTCTCAGAAGGAGGCGGTCATCCTGGCCTGCACCATGACCAACGAGGCTCAGGCCACGCTGTTTGAGATCGACGTGTCGTCCAACTTCGTGTTGACGCCGGTGAAGGACCCGGTGTTCCCCAAGACGCCCATCTTCCTCAAGACCGTCTCCTACTGCGAGGACGAGGCCGACGCCTGGAGGAGGCAGATCAAGGTGGGCGTCGACTGGATCCTCTAGTGCATGACTTGTCTTCCTCTGGTGCTGTAAGTCTTCTTCTCTCCTGATAAACCTTTGACTTCTTAGTGTAAATCTAAACCTGTCGCTTGTAGATCTATTTACTGGTGTTTGAGGTCTTATGATGCTTGTAAGTTATCTTCCAGTGCTTATAAATATTGCTTGGTTCTTGTAATCATCATTTTTTGCTTTTAAATCTTGTACCTGTTCTTCTATGCCATCTTCCTGTGCCTGTGAAATATTCCTCTAAACCTTCTAGGTGAGTAAGACTTTGTTCAGTGATTATTATTAACCTTTATCTTCGACTGTAAACTTATTTTTGATTATTAATTTGATACTTGTGTGTTTCATAGTGTTGCTTGTGTGTTTAATAGTGTTGCTTGTGTGTTTAATAGTGTTGCTTATATGTTTAATAGTGTTGCTTGTGTGTTTAATAGTGTTGCTTGTGTGTTTAATAGTGTTGCTTGTGTGTTTAATAGTGTTGCTTGTGTGTTTAATAGAGTTGCTTGTGTGTTTAATAGTGTTGCTTGTGTGTTTAATAGTGTTGCTTGTGTGTTTAATAGTGTTGCTTGTGTGTTTCATAGTGTTGCTTGTGTGTTTAATAGTGTTGCTTGTGTGTTTAATAGTGTTGCTTATATGTTTAATAGTGTTGCTTATATGTTTAATAGTGTTGCTTGTGTGTTTAATAGTGTTGCTTGTGTGTTTAATAGAGTTGCTTGTGTGTTTAATAGTGTTGCTTGTTGCTTTTATCTTTAATAGAGTTGCTTGTGTGTTTAACAGTGTTGCTTGTGTGTTTAATAGTGTTGCTTGTGTGTTTAATAGTGTTGCTTGTGTGTTTAATAGTGTTGCTTGTGTGTTTAATAGTGTTGCTTGCTGCTTTTATCTTTAATAGAGTTGCTTGTGTGTTTAACAGTGTTGCTTTTATCTTTGATAGTGTTGCTTGTGTGTTTAATAGTGTTGCTTGTGTGTTTAATAGAGTTGCTTGTGTGTTTAATAGTGTTGCTTATATGTTTAATAGTGTTGCTTGTGTGTTTAATAGTGTTGCTTGTGTGTTTAATAGTGTAGCTTGTGTGTTTAATAGTGTTGCTTGCTGCTTTTATCTTTAATAGAGTTGCTTGTGTGTTTAACAGTGTTGCTTTTATCTTTAATAGTGTTGCTTGTGTGTTTAATAGTGTTGTTTGTGTGTTTAATAGAGTTGCTTGTGTGTTTAATAGTGTTGCTTGTTGCTTTTATCTTTAATAGTGTTGCTTGTGTGTTTAACAGTGTTGCTTTTATCTTTAATAGTGTTGCTTGTGTGTTTAATAGTGTTGCTTGTGTGTTTAATAGTGTTGCTTGTGTGTTTAATAGTGTTGCTTGTTGCTTTTATCTTTAATAGAGTTGCTTGTGTGTTTAACAGTGTTGCTTGTGTGTTTAATAGTGTTGCTTGTGTGTTTAATAGTGTTGCTTGTTGCTTTTATCTTTAATAGAGTTGCTTGTGTGTTTAACAGTGTTGCTTGTGTGTTTAATAGTGTTGCTTGTGTGTTTAATAGTGTTGCTTGTGTGTTTAATAGTGTTGCTTGTGTGTTTAATAGTGTTGCTTGTGTGTTTAATAGAGTTGCTTGTGTGTTTAATAGTGTTGCTTGTATGTTTAATAGTGTTGCTTACATGTTTAATAGTGTTGCTTGTAAATCTGCCAGTGCTTGTAGTTTGTTAGCTATACATACAAATGTGTCGTTAGTAAAGTACTTAACAAATTTAGGTTAAGAATATGAGACTGTCGTAATAGATGTGTTGTCTCTTGAGGTCCTTCAGTCGATAAATTCTGGTGAAAATAAGATGAACTAGAGTCAGGATTAAGGAGTCATACCAAGGGTTCACAGTTGACATGGTGCTGCTTAAGGGGACCCTGTGTGTGTGTGTTGACCCAAAGGCTTAGTTTAGTTGTATTCTCCTCCCTCAGGTGACTCACCATGTGACGGAGAAGAGATCAAAGTCTCTGTGTCGGACCGTCAGTGAGCAGCCACGGCCCGTCAGCTTCGCTCTCCTGACCGACCATGACAGGAAGAAGGTCAGAGGCCGCGATAAGTCGAGGGATCGTCTGGCTGGCCTCCGCATTGGTGACAGAAGTCGAGAAAAGAGCAAGGAGAACATTCTGCGTAACAGGAGTAGAGACAGACTTCTGGTGGACAGAAATAAAGATTGGTTTCTGGACAGAAACAAGGAGAAGCATTTGGATAAGACAAAAGATAAACTAGAGGACAACGGTAAAGACAGGTTACAAGGGAAGTCTTCCAATAAGCTGAGTGAGAAAGGTCAGCAGGACCAGAGGAAGCTGTCGAAGCAGAACACCTACATCTTCCAGAACGGGCGGAGCACCAAGGTCCAGGAGAAGAAACAGGAGGCGGACGCTATCAGTCGACTCAATAAGTCGATAGAGAACCTAGACTACTCGAGGGTAGTGGACGACATCAGCCCGGTGCAGGAGGACGAGGATGGCGAGGAACACTACGCCGAGATATGCGAGTATTTCATGAACAAGAACGGCGTCTCGAGCAAGAAAGACAATAATAAACGTGAGAAAAGAAAATCTACAGGTGATAGAGACCATAATGTTCATGATCCTCAGTGTAGTGACCATGACAACAACCTCAGCTTCACCCTCCTTAAAAAAGACATCGGGGGTTACTATGTGAAGATCCCGGGGTTTGAGGTGCCGAGAGCTGACTTTGAACCCGGTACGAACAGTGACCCGAACAGGAGTTACGATTCTCTGTGTTAGACAAGTCTTAGTATTATTCTTTTATATAAGTATTTCACGTCTGTTTCACTGGTTTGCTTCAATTATATCTCGTAGTGTAAGATATTTACGACTGAGTTAAGAGAGAATCTGTCAGTGTGTAGTGATGAATTATCTGGACGTGAGAAAACTATTAAACTCAACTCATGAGCTTAAACACTAAACGGGGCTTAAGAGTTACACAGTCAAGCTCCAGGTTCAGTTATCCAAAATGATGGGAATTTATAATGCACATTTCATTAAATCAACATTATAGAAAATATATATACGTCAAGGTTGAAGTGTTGTACAGTGCCTTCACAAGCTCAGTGATCCAACAGTACAAGTGATCGATCGTGATAATTCACCAGTCAAGAAAATATATTTATAAAACAAACATTAACACATGAATTACTTAGAGGAAAACTTCAATGCTCAAATGTGTCTTTCTAACTTAGTGTTATTTGTTGCTGCAATGTCTCTTTATGTATTTGTTAATGATGAAGTGTAAACAAAGAGTAAACACAAGTTAGTACAACAGGTGAAGACTCAGGCAGGTGTTGAACATTAAAACATCATCACCTACACCTGCCTGTCAGACAACGGAGTGAGGCTGAAGAAACCATTATATTAAGAGGTGACTCATCGAAAGGACTCCTGTCTAATAAGCCCTAACCTGACCATTATTGACATCGGGGTCCACTTCCTAATGGGCCTAAATTCTAATGGTTTAACTTAAGTTTCATTACAGCTAGGACCAACTAGATCTACAAGTGATTAATCTGATTTATTTGTATTCATTATGACTTCCCAATAAAGTCAAGTGTTGCGTCTTTATTAAACCTGGGCTCACATAGTCGAGTATCACCTTCAAGTATTATCTTAGTCATTCATACAATCTCCCTTGTTCCACTGTTTGTATATTTCATCAATGTTTATTTTCTTGATTTGTTATTCTGTCTGTGTGTTGTTTGACTATACAGTATAATTGACCAATATTTTGTTTTCCCGAAGGATATAATACATTAAATAATGGATTCTGAACTGTTTATAATATCTAGTCAGTTTTGGGTTTATTCTTTGACATAAAAATAAAACGCATCAGGATTCTGTATAATTGTACGAGTGTTACGTATAAATGAACCATAAACCATATTGACGGAAAGTATTACAGGTTAATGCGCTGATAACTGATGACTTTATGTGGAAGAATATAACTAATGGGCTAATAAGAGAGAAAACATACAGGTGGATTACTACAATATCTTGTGTTAACTCATATACTCACTGGCACTTCAGGAATCTAAGATACTGATTGGTTGAAGGTTTTCGCGCCTTATACGAGTTTAACTGAGACAAACTTTATATCAAGAAGACGAGGGTCATCGCATTTATACCCGATACTGTACTGTACATGGTATCGGATCCTCTATAGTGATGAAACAGAAGCATTTATACCTTACACTTGGTATTAGGTTCTAAGCAATACAAAGACGCCCTGCACTTATAACTTTTGATACATGGCATTAGATTTCCATGCAAAAATCACATTCTAGCACTATATATTATTAGCACTATATATTATTAAACACTATACAAGGAACAGAATTCAATCAAACATAAGTAAACAGACCCCGGCATTTATACAAACAAAATCTAATCCCCGGTATCTATACTTACTGTATTGAACCCTACACAAAGAGGATACCAGAGCATTTATCGGAACACTGAGTGATATTCACATGTCTTCAGTATAGTGTTAACTGTAATTAAAGACTGTATGTTATGTAATGCGTGAGTACTTGTACGTATGATACAGTATGGCAGCTTCTATTGTTGTATTTGGTGTATAAGGAAACATACCAGTGTATTCTTGTGGCCATTTTGTATACATTAAGGCATTTATGAGTGTTGTAAGAGACATATCAGTGTGTAAATTAAACTTAATACTGAATAATATACAGAGTTGTGTTTTATTTACATTTACCCTATTTACAAATATTAAAAAAAAAATACATTCGATGATGACATACCTCCTTACCCCCACCCCTTACACCTCACCCTGCCTTTACCAGGGTTACTTATATTAAATACTCTTCAACAACCAAGGCTTTATTTAACTAAGTAATCCACGCAAAAAACAAACAAAATCCTCCGAACAACCAATTTTCAATATAAATTTGCCACTTAAGAAATGTGTCATTGCTGTACTCAATCCAAGCCCTTGAGTGCATTGTACACTTAGTACAATGTATAAACCCCTAAAGTAGAAAAAAAATTACTTGATCCCTTGAGTACGATGACTGAACCCCTTGAGTACTATGTCTTAAGTTTTTGAAAACGAAGAACTATTCTCATATGACATTGTACTCAAAGGATTATAAGACAAGTCATCGTCCTCAAGAGATTCAGTCATCGTTCTCAAGGTGTCATTTACACATTATACGTAATTAATGGTAATTAATGTAGGTAATCCATGTTAAATAATGTCATCGTTCTCAAGAAGTTAAGTCATCATCCACAAGGGGTTAAGAGATCGTCCTCAAGGGGTAAAGTCATCGTCCTCATGAGGTTAAGTCATCGTCCTCAAGAGGTTAAGTCATCGTCCTCAAGGAGTTAAGTCATCGTCCTCAAAAGGTTAAGTCATCGTCCTCATGAGGTTAAGTCATCGTCCTCAAGAGGTTAAGTCATCGTCCTCAAGAGGTTAAGTCATCGTCCCCAAGGAGTAAGTCATCGTCCTCAAGGAGCATCGTCCCCATGAGGTTGTCATCGTCCCTCATGAGGTTAAGTCATCGTCCTCAAGAGGTTAGTCATCGTCCTCAAGGTAAAGTCATCGTCCTCATGAGGTTAAGTCATCGTCCTCATGAGGTTAAGTCATCGTCCTCAAGAGGTTAAGTCATCGTCCTCAAGAGGTTAAGTCATCGTCCTCAAGGAGTTAAGTCATCGTCCTCAAGGAGAAGTCATCGTCCTCATGAGGTTGTCATCGTCCTCATGAGGTTAAGTCATCGTCCTCAAGAGGTTAAGTCATCGTCCTCAAGGGGTAAAGTCATCGTCCTCAAGGAGGTTAAGCCATCGTCCCTCATGAGGTTAAGTCATCGTCCTCAAGAGGTTAAGTCATCGTCCTCAAGAGGTTAAGTCGTCCTCAAGGAGTTAAGTCATCGTCCTCAAGGAGTTTGTCATCGTCCTCATGAGGTTGTCATCGTCCTCATGAGGTTAAGTCATCGTCCTCAAGAGGTTAAGTCATCGTCCTCAAGAGGTTGTCATCGTCCTCAAGAGGTTAAGTCATCGTCCTCAAGGAGTTAAGTCATCGTCCTCAAGCTGTTAAGTCATCGTCCTCAAAGGGTTAAGTCATTGTCCTCAAGGGTTAAGTCATCGTCCTCAAGGGGTTAAGTCATCGTCCCCAAGAGGTTAAGTCATCGTCCTCAAGGAGTTAAGTCATCGTCCTCAAAAGGTTAAGTCATCGTCCTCAAAGGTTAAGTCATTGTCCTCAAGGTAAATTCATCGTCCTCACGAGGTTAAGTCATCGTCCTCAAGAGGTTAAATCATCGTCCTCAAAGGTTAAGTCATCGTGCTTATGGGGCTAGTTATCATCCGTACGGGTTGAGTCATCGTCCTCAAGAGGTTAAGTCATCGTCCTTATGGGGCAAGTTATCATCCTTAAGGGTTAAGTCATCGTCTTCAGATGTCAAGTCATCGTCCTCAAGGAGTTAAGTTATCGTTCTCAAGAGGTTAAGTCATCGTCCTCATGGGGCTAGTTAGGTCATCGCCCTCAATAGGTTAAGTCATTGCCCTCAAAAGGGTAAGTCATCGTTCTCAAGGGGGTAAAGTCCTCGTCCTCAAGGGGTTATGTCATTGTCCCTCTTGAGGTTAAGTCATCGTCCTCAAGGGTGTGCCATCGTCCCTCACAGGGTAATGGCATCGTCCTCAAGGGTAAAGTCATCGTCCTCACAGGTAATGGCATCGTCCTCAAGGTAAAGTCATTGTCCTCCAGGGGTAAAGTCATTGTCCCTCAAGAGGTTAAGTCATCGTCCTCAAGGGGTTAAGTCATCGTCCTCACTGTAAAGTCATTGTCCTCCAGGGGTAACGTTATTGTCCTCAAGAGGTTAAGTCATCGTCCTCAAGGGGTTAAGTCATTGTCCTCCAGGGGTAAAGTCATTGTCCTCAAGAGGTTAAGTCATCGTCCTCAAGAGGTTAAGTCATCGTCCTCAAGGGGTGCTCATCGTCCTCAAGACGTTAAGTCATCGTCCTCAAGACGTTAAGTTATCTTCCTCAAGAGGTTAAGTCATCGTTCTCAAGTTATTAAGTCATCGTCCTCAAGAGGTTGTCATCGTTCTCAAGGGGTCTGAGAGGATGTAATAATATTGAAAAAATAATATCTCGGTTATCCTTAATTTCCGGCTAACATATCATATAAGAAAAATGTCTTGGAATTGTCTAGACATTACGAAACGCATATTTATAACAGCGAAAGAAAGACCTGTGTATTACTAAACATTGACCGTATTATAAAGATTCGACGTTTTATTTTAATTTTAAGTATTTGCTTTTGTCTACGATCATAAATCACCTCTAATGGGCAGGTCATGGAGGATGGGGGAAATTGCTGGGTAAAACACGGTGAAAAACTGGTCATATGACACTAAAATTGTGTGTACATGCTTTGTAGATGAAAAAATAAATCTTTTACCGTAAATACTCCTCTGAAAATTCGAGTCGCCTCGTGTCGTCTGTTTGTTTACAACCTACCAGCCCAGTCGAGCGCTTCAACAAAGTTGCTTTCATTGGCACCAGATCTCAAAAGGGTAACTTTGTAGTTTTAACCCCCAACTACTATTCAACCATAAATTTTAGTATTTCCCATGGTATTTGTTGCGATTCATTCGAATTTGACCTTCATTTCCTACCTCACCTACCTTACCTTAACGAACTAACTAGCCGTCCCCGCTATATTAAACAAAGTACTTATTTTGATATCTGGTACCAATGAAGCAACTTTGCTGAAGCTTCATGGTGTTTTTTACGTCTTTGTGGACGAGAGTACGCTCAGACCGAGCGGGTCAGTTGTAAACAACAGGGGACACCTGGGGACTGCAGATTTACGTTAATTTCTTACGTGAATTAACTATCTCGGTTAATATCCATTTGCGACGGAAGTGGTATTAGAAAAAGTTATTTCTATTGACGAGATATAACAATGGTAAACACAAAATTACTCTGAGTTGGGGTGAAACTGCAGTAATACCAGTATTAATATTTTGTTTAATATGGCGGGGGAATCCTGGGGGCCGGAGCCCCTCGTCTAGAAAGTTAGGCAAGGTTAGGTAGAATTCTTTAGTTGGATAGGTCAGGTTCTAGTATATGTCGCCTCTTTTAAGAGACTAACTCTAATGATAAGAACATCTGTGGAAAAATGAACAGAATTGAATAAAGCCTTCTGGTGTTAGACGTCTCCTCCAGGATACCTAGATTTGTGATGGTGCTGGTAAAGAATTGAATTTGAATTTTGCCGCGGACAACAGCTAGTTTATTATGCACCCCATACTCATCTTGTGAGCGGCAGCGCAAAATGATTACAGAGTATAGGCCACAAAGGGTGTTTATCAGACCCCAGTGATATTGATATTATGACAATGAATGTTAGAGTATTTCCAGTATATGTTTAAGTCCGTACATAGAATTTTGATCAGGTGCTAGATGCGAAGTGTGGAGACAGTCTTAGTATATCAGCTGTTCTTGTCATCAGAAATAAAGTGCTTGGATCTATCTCTTATAATGTTTAATTTTTTCATAGTATAAGACGTATTGTTGGAGTATGTGGCCGTATGTCTGGCCACACACTTTACATTTAGTTTTGTTCACATCTGTCTGGGGACATATTGCCAGAGGTACTTATATCCTATCCTTAGTCTAACGGTTACAACGTCTTGTAATCTAGTGATCTTGTTACTTGCTCCATATACATGTTTTATTTGATGCATCTCATCATGGTAAACAATGGATTGGCTATAGTGCCTCGTTGCACTTGTCTACTGGCATCAAATTCATCAGCAAGCTTTTTTCTGATTACAGTTTTTAATAAGGTTCTGTTTGACAGTCCCAGATTGTAACCAAAGAATCTAAAATAAATAACAAACCCTTCCCCGCATCCACACACCCTACCTCCCATCCACACACCCTACCTCCAACCACACACCCATCCTCCCATCCATACCCTACCTCCAATCCACACACCCTTCCTCCCATCTACACACCATAGAAAGAAAAATAAATTAATATTTCATGATTTTGATATTCTTCAAAAGCAAAAAGCTTGAGTCATCAGTCAGACATTAACTCGTCTCACTGCCTAAACCCCCAAATAGTATATATGTAATAATATGTAATAATAATAATAATAATAATAATAATAATAATAATAATATGTTTGTATAATAATAATAGTAATAATAATAATAATAGTAATAATAATAAAAATAGTAATGGAAGTATTACGCTTATGCTAACCGTGAGGGAGGCCAACTGTTTGGTTGGTTGTGGACTAGTTTAATTGGCGTAGGCGGATCCTTGACGAAGCTAAAACTCATGACGATCTTTCGTTATTATCAGTTTTATTTTAGCTAATGGTGGATACAGAAGTAATTTGAAGTAAATTAATGAGATTATAGATGACGGACCAATCGTGTATGGTGTTCTTTCCACCGTCAGTCGATTATTTTCATATGAATCAGTAAAACGAACCAATGAATTAAGGAATCGAAGCACCACGGGTTCGCCAAACTTCGCCAGTGATCATTAGAATGCGGCGGTGGTGGCGGCAACGTGTGGAGTGTGGTCATACAGTATTTGATCGCTATTTCCATGTTTTACGTTTGCTGTTTGTGGTTTACCTCGTGTTTGTGGCGTCGTGAGGACTTCCAGGACTCTATGTTGTGGTTATTAGCGGTTGAGTGAAGGTAAGGTGAT